GAGTGAATTATTTTGTTTCTATTTTAAAGATAAAGAAAATGAACTAAGAGTACTGTAGTTCAATAAGATCTCCCCTTTATCCACCAAAAATAAAAACAAGAATAATTTATAACGCAGACCGGGGTGATAAAGTATAGTAACATAGGTGGCATCAAAATAAGTATTGGCACTTTTATTTTTACTATTTCTTACTTTTCTTCTTCTATTCCTACTTTTCCTTTGCCTCCCCTCCTTTCCCAACTATCCTTTCTTACACACCTGACAAGTTTAGTTTAGTCTTAGCTTCACTAACACTGATATAAAAACCTTGTACTGCTTAGAAACTTCCTAAATTGTTCTTCTCATTTACTTAAAAATTTTCCTTTTGTATTGGCCATGTAGCCTTTCTAGTGGTTAGGGAACTGAATCCTGCATGGCCAGCCATGGTTCCAGATGTGTTGTACCCAAAGTTCCAAAATGGAGAAATGGAAGAGAAGGGGTTGTGGTGTGACCATACCCTTTCGAGGGGTGCTCCCTTCTCTCTGTTTCTCTCTCTCTAGCGAATATACATGCCCACTGGCAGTTAACTTTTTTTTTAAATTTTTATTCTTTTATTAACTTAAATCCCTCCAAATACTATTTATTCCAAAGAATCTGCATCTAGAGAGAGTCAAAAAGAGAGTGAAAAGTTTACACAAAGACTGTAAGTGGTCATTGTCAAACCACAGTGGTAAAGCAAGAAGTAGCAAGCTCTCTCCCCTACCTTTCTGAGGTTGATTTAGTCTTACAATGGCATAGAGTATATAAAGTATGGTAATAGCATGAGGAAAACTGTTAGCCTAAGTCATTATATCTCAACCTTGACTGGCTATCAAAATCAACTGCAGAGCTTAATGAAAAATATGTTTTAATTTCCCTTGCTCAGCCCCTAGAGATTCTGTTTGAGTAAATCCAGGATATTTTCTGGAAATGTGAGCTTTAAAAAGCTCTTTAAATGATACTTATGCACTGTCAGAAGAGAAACTCATTGCTTTAAAATTTATAGCGCTTTGGGAATCAGCAGTTAGCGTAATGGCTATGTTGCTGGACTCCCACGTAGTCGACCACAGTTCGCGTTCTGGACCCGGTGGCTTAAAACTCACGCCAGGCGCGTGTGCGTGCGTGCCCAAGATCCCGAGAGGAGAATGGAGGAGAAGGGATTGCGGCGTGACCACCCCCCCTGGGGGATGATTTCTCGCTTTCTGTCTCTATGTCTCTCTCTGTCTGTCTGGCGAGTGCACGCGCCCTATAGTGAAAATCTCTCAAAAAAAAAAAAATTTATAGCGCTTTAATGAGAGAGAAAAACTCAGCTAAATTCAGAAAGGATTGACTAATAGAGTAATTTCCTGTTTAGAAGTATTTGTGACTTGTTTTAAAATTTTTACTGTGTGTCTATTATTAACTTTGCACTTCTTGACTTTGGTTCTTATATCTTGGTATAGGTTTTTGGTTTGTATTTTGTTTTTGTTTTTTCAGACTGCATCTTCAGTTTTAATACTGGACTTCATTGAGAATATAGGGCTTGGAATTTTCCTTTAGCCAGCATTCCAGGAAAGTTAATGTTCTGTACTTTATCTAATAACTAATAGAGATTTTCTTAAACTTCCCAGCTTTCATGACATAATTCAGGAATGTAAATGAAACAAACCTCCATGTAGGTTTTCTGTATGCCCCCACTCACTCCCCTCAAAATTATTTTGACACAAAGTCCAGATATCCTATTTAACTCAGCTTGCATCTTTAAGTATTAAGACTGTTTTAAACATAACTACAACGCCATTGTGTGCTTTTAAAATGCACCTTCTTGCTAAATATCTAGTCAGTATCGAAATTTTACTTACTACTACATGATTTTTTCCAGTTTGACCTAATTGATATCCAAAGTCCACATATGATATCTAGTATTTTAAGTTTTTGTTACTCTATAAGAGCATTCTTTTGTTTTGTTTTGTTTTGTACTTTCTCCTTTTAAATTATTTTTTGGGACCAGCTGTTGGCATAATGACTATGTTGCTGGTTTCCCATGTAATTGACCGCGGTTCGAGTCCCAGACCCGGTGGCTTAAACTCACGCCAGGCGCATGTGTATGTGTGCCCAAGATCCCGAGAGGAGAATGGAGAAGGGATTGCAGTGTGACCGTCCCCCCTGGGGGGGTGATTTCTCACTTTCTCTCTATTTTACTGATGAGTGCACATGCCCTATAGCAAAAACCTCCCCCCCCCAAAAAAAAAATATTGGTTAAAAAAGCTGGGACATTAAAAAAAAATTACCAAAAGAAACTTAAAGCAGGCCTAATTAAATTAAAAGATACCCTGTGGTCATGGATTGGAAGAATTAATATTGTTAGGATGACTGTGCTCCCCAAGTTTCTTTACAGATTAAATACAGTTCCTATTAAAATCTGAGTATCAGGTCAGCCAATGGCATGGTGGCTAAGACATTTGGATCAGACATGACTGACCATGCAGTTCAGTCCTGGACCCAGTGGCCTGAGAAACATGCCACTTGTGTATGTGTGTGTGCACATGTGTGCGCATGCATGCCCAAAATACCAAAATGAGGGAGAAGGAGGAGAAGGGATTTCGGCCTGACCATCCCTTGTGCAGTATGCTACACACACACTTTGCCGGGGGTATGCGCCCTCTGGCCAAAAAAAAAATTTTAAATCCAGGTGTCTTTTTTTAATTTACAAACTGATCTTAGAATTCATATTGAGGAGCAGCTGGTGACATGGTCATTAAGCGGGCTGGATCCTATATGGCCAATCTGTGGTTCAAGTCCTGAACCCAGAGGCCTGAGAGACACCCCAGGCATGACTGTGTGTGCCCAAATTATCAGAAGGGAAGATGGAGAAAAAGGGATTGCAGTATGACCATTCCCCATGGCAGGTGCTTTCTCACTTTTTTCTCCCTCTCCTTCTCCTCTCTCCCACTCCTGTCTCTTCCCCTCTCTGCCTCTCTCCTCTTTTTTTTTTCTTTCCCTCCTCTTTCTGGCAAGCACAAGTTCCCTCTGACCAAATTTTTAAATTTTTTTAAGTTGATTAAAAAAAAAAAAGAAAAAATTCATATGGAAACCCAGGGCCCAGAAATCACCAGAACCATCTTGAAAAAGAACAGAGTTTAAGAATTTCTCCTTTTAAAATTCACTTCAAAACTTTGTGGTGGTTTTGTAAGGATGGACATAAAGATCAATGAAATAGAAATCAGTTGTCTAGTAATAAACCTATACATTGATTTTCAACAAGAATACCCGTTCATTGATGAAAGAATAGTCTTTTCAACAAATGGTTCTCGAATTTGTATGTAAAATAATGAAATTGGGTTTCTTCCTCACACCATATATAAAAATTAACTCAAGAGAAACTCCTAAACCTAAGAGCTGCAAGTATAATCCTTTTAAAATAAAATGTAGGCATAAACTTTCATGATTGAATTAGGCAGTGGTTTCCAAGATGTAACACTAGAACCTTAAGAACCAAAGGAACAAAGTCTTTACTTTTTTGGATAGGATTTTGTTATAGGGCCCATGTGCTCACCAGGAAGACAGAGAAAGAGAGACAGAAAGCAAAAAATCACCCCCGAGGGGAGATGGCCACACCGCAGTCCCTTCTCCATTTTCCTCTTGGGATCTTGGGCACGCACACACATGCGCCTGGCATGAGTTTAAGCCACCGGGTTGGGGACTCGAACCATGGTCAACTTCATGGGAATCCAGCAATATAGCCATTATGCCAGCTGCTGGTCCCCGGGGAACAAAATCTTGATAAATAAGACTTTACTACATACCGTGGCTACCTGGTGTATAGTCATGTGCTGCATAATATTTCAGTCAGTGATGGACCGCATCTATGACAGTAAGTACATCTATTGACTGTACCAATAGTCTCAAGGTGTAGTAGGCTCTACCATCTAGGTTTGTGTAGATACCTTCTATCATGTTTGCATGACAGCAAACTTACCTAACAACCTCTCAGACGGCATCCCCATCATTAAGTAACACATTTTTTGAAACCATCATCATGTATGGTGGGTGACTAAAATGTTATGCAGCACAAAGACACCCCAGTTTAAAAATAGGCAAAAGACACAAGCAAATAGATGAGGTTCTCCAAAGAAACCATACCATCTATAAGCACATGAAAAGGTGCTCCTTAGTCATTAAGGAAATGCACCTCAAAGCCACATTGAGATGCCACTTCACACCCATGAAGAAGAGTGTAATTAAAAAGACAATAACAGATGTCCAAGATGGGAACAAACTGGAGTCCTCACACACTGCTGGTGGAAATGTAAAAGGGTGTAGCTGCTTTAGAATGCAGTTTGGCAGCACCCCAGTAGGTTAGATGTAGAGTGATAGTATAAACCAGCAGTTGCCTTGCTAGGTATATACCCAAGAAAATCGAAAACACATGTCTACACAACTTGTACACATATGTTCATAGCAGCTTTGCATAAGAGCCAAAAAGTAGCCACACCGCAAGTGTCTATCAGCTAATTAATAGTTAAATAATATGGGATACATCTATATGGTGTGTTATTCTTTGCAATTAGAAATGAAGTACTGGTAAACACTATGATATGACTTGACAACATTATGCTAAATGAAAGAAGCCAGACAGAAAATGCCAGATACTGTTAGGTTCCATTTATATGAAATGGACAAAATAGAGAAATCCATACAGGTAGCCGTAGTAGTTGCCAGGGATCTGGGGATGAAGGCAGTGGGAGTGACTGCTAATGGATACCAGTGTTTTTTGGGGGATGATAATATTTTGGAATTAAGATGCTGGTAGGAGTTGCACAACTTTAAAGATATTAAGAACTATTGACTCCTGCACTCTAAAAGAATGGATTTTGTGTGAATTATGTCTCACTTAAAAATAAAAAATAAAAATAAAAAACCTGGGTCATTTGTCTTATGCAGGTAAAAATTTTTTAAAATTCTTAATATAACAAAAAGACCTAGTACACTCTAGAAAAATAATTGATAATGCAGATTAATATAATATTAATAGTGAAATCTCATTCAGGTTTCTGCTTTTCTGCAGAAAAGCACTGTTCTGTTTTTTTATTTGGTTTTGGTTTTTGCCATAGGGTTTATGCTCTAGCTGGAGAGAGACCGAAAGGGAAAGTGAGAAATCACCTCCAGTGGGGGATGGCCATGCCACAGTCTCTTCATCTCTGTTCTCCTCTCAGGATTCCAGGCACGCACAAGAGCCTGGCATAATTTTCAAACTGCTGGGTCTGAGACCCAGACTGCAGTCAGCCATGTGGGAACTCAGCGCCCTAACCGCCATGCCAGCTGCTGGGCCCCTGGCACTGTTTTGAAGTGTCTTAAACACTAAGTCTAAAATGCTCTTGTTTTCTTATTTTACTATCTAAAATGATTCTTCTTTTTTTTTAATTGACTCTCTTTTGTTATTTTGTTATTATATCGTAAGCTCCAAAAGAGCTAGAACTTTTGTCCATCCTTCTCCTACCTGTATAAGTGCCTGACAAAAATACGTGCTTAAAAAGGATAGATTCAATGGAATGATAAAGCAAGTGAATGGTTCATCTTCCGTAAGCTGCCTAAAATGCCTTTTAAGGAGTATTTCACATGGAACAACATCTCATTAAACCTTTTTACATTTCAGACTGCTGCACTTCGAGCTGTGGGCAACATTGTTACTGGAACTGATGAGCAAACACAAGTAGTTTTGAATTGTGATGCTCTTTCACACTTCCCAGCACTCCTGACACATCCCAAAGAGAAAATTAATAAAGTAAGCATTTAAAAATACTGCTTAATAAGTGGCATAATCAGCCCTTTTCATTTGTAAAATTAGGGTCTCAGAAGTATCTATAATATTATTAATGTAAACTGTCATTTAGACATTGAGATAATATAAAATATTTCCATTTTTATAGCATGAATTAGTAAATAATCTTTCATATAGAAACCAAGTTATAAAGTACTATTTGGGCTCTCTTGGAAATGATGAAATAGAGATAATTGGGTGTTGAATGTTGTGTGATTGGAAATTTTATTATATATATAATAATTCTAACTTTACTATTTTATAGAACTTTAAATAGAGTGGGGTGTGTGTGTGTGTGTGTGTGTGTGTGTGGTGGCTATGGAAAGGGGGCACTGACTGGTGCTGCTGATATTGGAGTGCATCTGAGGCTGTTGTAGAAATAACGTGGGTTTTTGACTACAACATTGCCTATGATTATAGCCCCAAAACAGCTCACCTAACTAGCCCAGCACCCTAAAATCTCTAACAGGTTCATTAAACATGGTCCTGTGATCTGATCTGAAAGAGCCTAGTGTATAACTAGCAATATTACAATTATTTGGAATAAAACTTGTTTCCTGGTTTTAAAAATAGCTAAAATATTTTCCTTTAATAAATTGGTAAATTTAATAAATTAAGTTTAATTATGGTAATATTGTATGTATTTGTCTTGTTTTATCATTTATTATCTATGAAACTTATAAAGCACTTGGGACCACCATCAACTTGGTCAAAGTAACACCACTGTGGTATAAAAGTTAACATTAAAAAGATCATTCAGGTAAACCAACAAAGCAATCAAGCGTCTTTTCTACTTTAGTACTTGAGAGAAATGGTACAGTGAATGACTGTTGCAAATAAGTGCACTAAAACAACTCACTGTAGCATTTTCCATGTCTCCAGTATTGCGAATGATTAAGATTTATAAAATTATTTTGACTAGGACTCTTCATCAGAATAGAGTAAAAGCACACTCTGTGAGGGAAGGGAGCTGAATCTCATTTACTGTTTGAGGATTTGTGTTTGTATTACAGCTCATCATTTCCTTAGTATTTGTTCAGCCAAACTCCTTTTGAATATTGTTTGGGAGCATTGCTTTCAAGAGTTTTAAAAGGGGAACCAGCAAGTGGCGTGGTGTTTAAGGTGCTGGGTTCCCACATAGCTGATGAGGTTCAAGTCCCAGACTCAGTGGTTTGAAAATGAAAACAAATAAATAGATAAATAAATGTTTAAAATAAATAATAAAGCAGCTGGATAAAAAATAATAATAATAATCAATTTAAAAGGATTAGTTCATTGTGACTTGTGTTAGGACTATTAGGAATTTGTCCAAAGTGGTAGAGGAATTAAGATTCCTAAGAGTTGTATTGTGAGTTTCGCCATATCATTAAGGCAGTGTAATGAATGCCTTTTTTTTAAGTTCAGATGCAGATATTATTTTTTCATGAGAAATATTGAAAGGCTCTTGTTCTACAGGAAGCAGTGTGGTTCCTCTCTAACATCACCGCAGGAAATCAGCAGCAGGTTCAGGCAGTAATTGATGCCAATCTTGTACCAATGATAATACACCTTTTGGATAAGGTAAGAAAATCATCTCTATCTTATCTGAATAAGGAGAAAGATTTTATTCTTAGAAATTTTGTGAATTTATACTCTTTTGTTTATTTAATTAGAATCTCTATAGTAGCGTGAGTTGTGTAATAAAGTAATATTAATAAATTAATAAGCTTTTGAACCCAGCAATTTTTATATATAGGAAACATTTATTTTTGGAAGCGCTTGCCCCTCTCCTGTATCATCCTTTCACCAAAATTGCCATTATCCTGGGACTTGGTCAAAAAGGTATATTATTACAGGGCCAGCAGTTAGAGTAATGGCTATGTCGCTGTACTCCCATGTAGTTGACTGTGGTTCGAATCCCGGACCTGGCAGCTTAAACTCACACTGGGCCCACCTGCATGCATGCCCAAGATCCCAAGAGGAGAATGGAAGACAAGGGATTGTGGCGTGGTCACCCCCCTTGGGGGGGGGTGGTTTCTCACTTTCTGTCTCTCTGTCGCTCTCTGTCTTCTGGCGAGCGCACACGCCCTATAGGAAAAACCTCTCCAAAAAAGAAAGAAAAGAAAAAAAATTGTAGATTTTTCCAAATTTTTTTTTACCAATTTTATTTCATTTTATCATCAATTGTATTTAATTCGATATTGTTGAATAGTAATATTGTAATATCAGGTCAGTTTGTTTAGGAATTTACAAAAAAGGGTTTCTCTGTATGTCTAGGGTAGATTGTATCGTTCAAAGGCTATCATAATATGTAAAGATTAATTATATGGAAAGGCTAACAGGTAACCTAGGGAAATAAGCAGTTGATCAATCATTTCAGAGAATTTTTTCAGTTTACCTTATATTACAGTTTGTAGCCTTTTGCTTTGCTTTTTTACAGGGGGATTTTGGCACTCAGAAAGAAGCTGCTTGGGCCATAAGTAACTTAACAATTAGTGGAAGGAAAGAGCAAGTAAGTTGAACTCTTATTTATTTCTCAAAACTGGTAAAATAACTACCAGTAAGTCTAAGGTTTAGATTTAAGTAAATCTTGATTTAAAATAATAGCAAGATAACAGGCAATCTGTACATTTTTTTCATATAAGCGTATCACCTTGACTTTCTTTATTGATATTCCATAGAAGTATTCTTTTTCCAGCTTGTTGGCCTACAAGAATTTTCTAATTTATGTTAAGATTAAGGACTGGATAGGGTTGGTTTTGTTGTTTTTATTGTGTGTGTGTGTGTGTGTTTGTTTTATTCATTGTCATTATTTTATTTTATTTTTTTGAAGTTGAGGAGAGACAGAGAAGGAAAGTGAGAAAGCAAGCCTCCAGATCCCGAACTTGAACCTCAGGGACTTGAACCTCAGTCAGCCGTGTGGGAATCCAGCCACCTTAACCACCATGCCACCTGCCTGTCCCTGTTTTTTTTGTTTGTTTGTTTCGTTTTGTTTTGTTTTTAACAATGGAACTGAAAAACATACTTTTTTAGGTTAATATGCCCGAAGAAGAAAAAAGGGGGGAAAAAAAACCTGCCTCACAGATTGTCTTAACAAGTGAATAACAACAACATGTTAAAAACAACAATTTTGTGAACAAATTCAACAGCTGCAAATAAAATGAAAAATTAAACTCAACTGAATGTCTGGAACTAGAGTGAGGAATGTGAAATGCTTCGGTATAAAATATAAAGAGACACTCATCCTCAGGGTCATGCAAGTGATGAAGCTTAACACTTTATTAACTAGCAAAGGAATAACAGTGTTGAAGGTCTCAGATCTATTTTACAGAACAGTTAAAAGGTGAATTTGAGTTGAGTCGTGGTGAATTGATACCTCTGAAAAAGAATGATGGACTGGTGTAAGCTATGGATTCACTACAATATGAATTTTGGGACCAGCAGGTGACATAGTGGTTAAGGTGTTGGACTCTCACGTGGCTGACCATGGTTTGAGTCCTGGATCTGGTGGCTTAAAAATTGCCAGGCTCATGTGTGTGCATGCACAAAATCCCGGGAGGAGAAGGGATTGTGGCGTGGCTGTCTTCTCTCAGGTGTCATTTCTCCCTTTCCCTCCCACTGTGTGTGTCTCTGTATCTCTCCGGCAAGCACCCTATGACAAAAACCTTAAAAAAACAAAAAAATACAGAGCATAATAGAAATATAATGCATAGGACCAGCAGTTGGTGTAATGGCAATGACGCTGAACTCCTACGTAGTCGACCATGGTTCGAGTCCCAGACCTGGTGGCTTAAACTCACGCTGGGTGTGTGTGTGTGCGTGCCCAAGATCCCAAGAGGAGAAGGGATTACACTGTGGCCATCCCCCTTAGGGGGTGATTTCTGGTTTTCTGTTTCTCTGTCTCTCTGTCTTTTTGGCAAGCGTACATGCCCTCTAGCATAATAACCTGACTCCCAAATGTTAGAAAATATTATAAAATCAATAAAGTAGTGAAGTGAGAGGTGGCCAGGCATACGAGAGTATAAATATTAGAGAGCTAGTTGGTGAAGTCACATTGAATTATTGTTAATATTTTTAAAATAGCATTCAATCTCTTAGCTGATTTTATAATTTCCTATTCTTCATTCTTCCATGAGAGATGGATAACGCCCAACAGGGTCTTCATGCCACAGTCCACCCCCCAATCTCAGGCAACCTGAATTATGGGCACATACATGCATGCTTGGATGTGTACAGGGAGACCTTGAGATGTGAGTCCTAACCTCTCCTGCGGAAGTCCAGCATTGCTGAGCCTAGTGTTGCTGCTGCACCACCAGGTGGTCTCTTAGCTCTTTACTCTTAAAAAGGAAAGAATCTTTGAAGGAAGTACAACCTGCCCTCCATATCCATGGGCCCCGTATCTGTGGATTCAAGCTGTAGACGGAAAATATTTGAAAATTGATCTGTACTGAACATGTATAGACTTTTTTCTTGTGATTATTTCTCTCTCTCTCTCTTTTTTTTTTTTTTTTGGAGGGGTTTTTAATATAGGGTGCATGCACTTGTCAGAAAGACAGAGAGAGACGGAGAGATAGAAAGCAAGAAATCACCTCCCAAGGGGGATGGCCACACTGCAATCCTTTCTCCTCCGTTCTCTTGGAATTCTGGGCACGCACGCACGCACACGCGCCCGGTGTGAGTTTAAGCCACCAAGTCCAGGACTTGAACCACGGTCGACTACATGGGAGTTCAGCGACATAGCCATTACGCCAACTGCTGGTCCCTTGTTATTTCTTAAATAATACAGTATAACGAGTATTCACATTGTATTTACATTGTGTTAATTATTAAAAATGGTCTAGAGATGACTTAAGTGTACAGGAGTATGTGCGTACACTATATTATGTGTGGTACTATGCCCTTTTCTGTAAAGGACTTGAGCATCTATGAATTTAGGAGTTGGGGGGGGGCTCAACTAGTCCCACACAGATACTGTATTCCTTACGGCAAAGAAATGCTTAATGTGTGGACCAGCAGGTGGTGTAGTAGTTGAGGCACTGGAATCCCTCATGGCAGACTGTGGTTTGAATCCTGGACCTAGTGGCTTTTAACACAGTCTGGGGCCCCGCCCCCCCCA